AGTAACTCTAAGTTTCAAATACTCGTTATCAAATTTCATCGAAAACTTTGGTATTATCAGTCCTCAAGAGTAAACATTTTTGATGCTTGCGCTTGTCGCGAGGGTCTGTTTGCTGCCCCTATTCTATAGTTCCGCCGTTGATGTTCTTTGAACTCTTCGTTCTTGTTTAACCATGTCATGCGCAACAGATTCGTGTTTCCAAACAAGTTCAAAGCTTTCCCGGGTTTCGCATTGCCGACGAAGCGTGTGGCTTTTGTACGCGTATCGCGCGTCGTTCCATGAGCGACATTCCATGAGCGACGAAGAGCGACACAATCGATATCACGGATATTTACTTACATTGAAGACGATGCGGATAACGTAGGAAATGGAATAGCGATTACTGTTACAAACGGTTTGCTGAAAGTCTTTAAACTAGATACAGTTACAAATAATCATTTGCATCGCCTTTCTTTGATTTGAGCGTATTAGAAAAATGAAGCAAAATAAAAAACATGTACTCTACTATTTTATTTCTATGGATTACTACAGGCTAACAATTTGTGATGTTTACATTGAGATTTTTTGTTTGTAGTACAAAATATTTTTATTTATTCATTAATAATTGCATTCGTCACAATTACGCGACTATTCTTCGAAATGCGCACATTGAATGTAAGAAAGTAGCGCTATAGATGTGTTATTTTTATAAGTATTTGTATAGGTTCTTTTATTTTGGTATGCATTTCACATTTGAATAGAGCCATTTTTCGCTAAAATATGTCATATATTTAGGATTGTTTAATTTATAAATAAATATTATTAAATGTTTGCGTTATAATTTGGATAGTAATGAATCTCGGAGCAAATGTATAGTTTATTTGCAAATGATGCGACATTTGATAATTATTCAACAATAATATATAATAATGTGTCAATATAATATTTAGAACTAAAATACATTTTTCAATAATAATATCAAATAATCTGGCATCTAGCAAAAGGTAGCTATAGAACTATCACTAGAAGGATCGAAAAATATCAGCACGACACATTTCCGTCGAGCGCCGTGCTGATGGAAGAAAAATTGCTTAAAAAATGTTCATAAGGCAGAACAACTTTCGAAAATGATTCACTCGCGTAGAGATTAATCGGAGCAAGCTAGGTGCTACTCGATAGTTTTCATGAAGTTTTATTTCAGTGAATAAAAATATCTACTTTAATGAAGTTTTTAATAAAAATATTCTCTATTTTTTGACAGAGAGAAAAGAATTTTTTCAATTAATAAATGTTTTAATGTCTACACATGTAATGGAGTCTGAGTTTTATTATTAGCTGGAAATTCCAGAATTTATTTATTAATTTGTTTAATAAACGTAAAAATTTATTAAACTCAAAATTTTCAAATTTTCTAAAACTTTTCTCTGACATCTGTTAAATACATTTGTGTTAAATACAGACATGTAATAAAATCATAATAAAATCGTAATGATATTGAATTTGTCTACTCTATAGCTTGCTAGCGAATCAATAATCAAAATTCTGACTTCTGTTTGCTACTGGATTCATTATTAGTATTATTACATTAAGAAATCGGGAAACGTAACCGTGAAAATACGGTTACCTCTACTTGAAGATGATACGTCTATGCCAAGCTTTAGTATCGGCTCTTTTTTCTTCGTACGCTGGAACGGCGCGATATGTTTATTGGCACACGTCTACTGTAAAACATGCAAGAAAACGAGATACCAATATTTCTGTTTACTTGACATGTATCAATTTCCATTTTGCCTAGCACGGAACTTATGTTTATGAGAAGCTGCTTCTATCTAACGTTCCTGTACGCGACGAGTTATATGGAGGGTACCGGTTCTGACAATGTAAGCCACGCAATGTGTCAACGAAAACAGGTTCTACCAGCTACATACAATGTAATCCTGGAAGTTGATGTACAAGATAGCAATTCGGAGTGATTTTTTGACACTTCTTTGTCAGGCGAGTGAGTTATTATGTATTCGGGGATGCCGTTCGCAGATATCTTCTTTAGTTCCATCAGTCTCTTCATATATTTTATAGAAACAAAAGTGATATTCATTCTATTCAATCTCTATCCATTTTCATATATTTTAAATTTATTTGCAAGATTTATTTCCCCCTCCCACCAAATATATAGAGAGAAATATCTTTCGATTGCATTTCTTATTTATTTCATACGGGTCATGAAAAATAAATGTATAGAATAAAAATAAGTCAGTGTCTCTCTCTCTCTCTCTCTCTCTCTCTCTCTCTCTCTCTCTCTCTCTCTCTCACACACACACACACACACACACACACACAAAATTTGATTCGTTAGATTGATCATACTGGTCTTTATGAAATATCTTTATTAAATTTTTACAAGTAATACAATATACATGATTGTATAAAAAGTTTTTAAAAGATTACACTTACTGAAATAAAACGATAGTACCAATGTCATTGTACTGTATTAGTCCAATAAAAGATTTTGACATTTATTAATATATATTTCTCATGGTCACGATGAAAACGTTTTGCTTTTTAGGATGATTTTTAGTAGCAAGTAATACGATTTTGCGGCATTGTTGAAGTAAATATCGAATTGACGCCTCACGTGCACGTATATGCATGTTATTACATCTTGGTATTGCGCTAGCTTACACAATGTGTACCGGGTGGTCCTAATTTCTAGAAGAACGATAATGTTGAAACACGGTTTATTGGCGTACGTTTTATTAGATCTTGCTTATACATTTGCAGTTAAGAAAGTCGAGTTGACAAAATTATAAAAATTTCTGATCAAAATCGTTGATTATAGAAATAATGAAATTGTTATCTTTAGTGTAAAGTTAGTAACTATCTTATTTCCATTTAAAAAAAAACTTTAAAGAATTTATGTTAAAGTAAATATCTCCTTCGTAAAACGCATTTAAACATAAACATTTAAATAATATACATGTAAATAATATAGAACCTTAATAGAATTGTGAGAAGGCTAGAAAAGTTTCAATTTAAGTTGCAATTTGATTGGTAATTTCATTTCACGCGGCAAATCAACCTGGTTGCCCGACGAATACAATCGTCGGTGCACTTTTGACCTGTGCGACCTTTCGGCCCAATGCGACCTTTTGTGCCTATATTTCGTATCTCTCGCAAAATGAGATTAATGCCGCTCATCGATGTGGCTATCGAGTCACCATTTGTTACAACATCAATAAACTTTATTCACAAAATCGTATCTAATGTTGAATTATTACGTGTCTTGCATATATTTCAATTACATAATAAAAAGCATGATTTTGAAGGCTATTTGTTTATGTTGTAACTTGACACGTATTATCGAGTCGCGATATGTATATAAACTGGCCCAAGCGGAACATTTGACACTTTCCATTTGCATATCGATACAAGGGTACTGTATTGTGAGCTTCAAAATGTATAATAATATTCGAATCACGAGCACAAATGACATGACAGATATCGACTATATTTTGTATCATGCAAAACTGAATTTCTCATTTACATGTCAATATACGTTTTTCCGTTTACTTTATTAACTTTATTTGTTTTACGTATTTTCTATTGCGTATTTTATACATTGTGTACGCAATATATCCAATCCGTGGAAAAAGACATTAATATATTTATGGAAATGATAAATTTTTTGTTCAGAAATCACGAAAAAGAAAAATACTAAAAAATTGTGTTAAAATTTTGCTGTAATACAAAATTAAACATGTTCATTTGAATTAAAAAAAAATTGAAAATTAGTTTAAGCATTTATTGTCCAGAAGTTTGTAGGTGCTATAATTTGAGAATTTCTCGGCGATCGATATTGGAACGGAATCGGCACATCGTTTGATATCGTAGTATTATTGCGAACGCCGGTCTTTTTACGCGTTGGACGTATCAGAGAGTTAGCAGAGAGACGAAGCAGAGAGGCAAACTGCATCTCGCAAAAATTCAGTACGACGCTTCTTGCACGGCTGCCTTTGTATCGAGCGTTCGTGCGTGCGAACTCATGGCGAGTGCATGCTGATGCGCATGCACGACGGCGTATGCACGCGCTGAGTTCATTTGTTATCGGCACAATGGACAGTAGAGGATTGCCTTACTCCCCATATATTCACCATGTGTGAGAGCTTCCTGTTTCTCGCACACGGGATATGCGTTTCTCGTACCTACGATATACTTACTCGAGCGTAATAAGCGTCACGTTAATCACGTTAAACCGCGCAGATTATTTTCCATTATAGCCTCACACAAACGCGCGTATACATATACGTTAGTTGATAAATATTAATATTAAAAATTTAATTATCCCTAAAATGAATAGTGAAATGTATTGTATACTTTTAACCGCAGATTATTTAAAGCTAGCCTATCTAAATATTTATCGAGTCAGAGGATGGATAGTGGACTTTCTCAGTCGTCATGCAGTATATACATGCGGCTAACACAAGTGGTTGTTATCGGTAAAAGAAGTTGTGGCACATTGAATGATTGTAGATCTTACTTTTTTACAGGTAGTTACAGTCTCTGATAAACTGCAGCGCTCGATAAACTGACAGATCTAATTTAAAGAATCCTGCGTTAATTTCTTCTTGAATAGAGTTCGCGAAACTGCCATTTATTCTCAACTAGAAACTTTGTAATTTTCAAAAAAGATTATATGTTCTGTCAATCTCTTAAAAATCGCATTAAGTTTTTATTACGTTAACTAGAATATTCGTTAGCTATTTAGTCCCTTGAAACTGAAAATTCACAGAAAGACTAGAACATTTTAATTTCCAATGATAATTACCTCCGTAATTAGGACTCTTATTAAGCTTTCATTAAAGAAGAATCGATATTAAATTCATCAAAGTGTTCGCAATTGAAAGAGAATGCAATTATAATTTTAATTACGATCAGATTTTTTAAACTTTTCATGGGCTGCTGTAATTTATTCGTTGCAAGCAATATGTGTTTATAAATGTTTCATCCGTTAATTCTGATTTCAGATGCAGAGAGCAGTGCTGCTGCTGCTCTGTTGGCTGCCGCTCCTCAACCACTGCCACGCCGTAAATCCAGGTAAATATCGATCTATTTCTAAAACGGCGACGCGTTGGCGAGCGTATATTGCAGATAGGCGTTATTCGTCGTGTTACCAGCTGTGAAATCTCGCGGATTCGCGCGCAAAGGAGGGT